CTAACCTCCAGAAACCAGAGGGGTGGGGGAGGTCTAAGAAAGGTCATAGTGGGGTGGGTATAAGCCAGGCAGCCTGAGCTGGACTACCTCTGCTACTTATCAGCTATGATCCTAAGCAAATCGCTCCCTCTTCAATTCCTCAGTTTCCCGTTCTGTGAAAAGGGAATAATAAAAATACCCTCCTCATAAGGTATATGAAGGGCTGAAAGACGATATATATCAAGTGCTTAGTGTACTTGGTATATCCTCAGCATTTCAAGATAGGATAGGCATACCCTCAGCATTTCGAGTGTGAGCTGTTTCTCGCTCAAGGGTTGTAATGAACAGATCCTTTCTGTGCAAATTGCAAAGTACAGGAGGAGAGCAAAAAGTTGCTATTCATGTCCTGGAAACCATGATTCTCAGCAAACTGACAGAAGAGCAGAAGATCAAACACCGCATGTTCTCACTCATAGGCGGGTGTTGAACAGTGAGAACACATGGACACAGGGAGGGGAGCCCTACACACTGGGGTCTGTTGGGGGGAAATAGGGGAGGGACGGTGGGGGGTGGGAAGCTGGGGAGAGATAACAAGGGGAGAAATGCCAGATGTAGGTGATGGGGAGGAAGGCAGCAAATCGCACTGCCATGTGTGTACCTATGCAACAACCTTGCATGTTCTTCACATGTATCCCAAAACCTAAAATGCAATAAAATAAATAAATGGGGAAAAAAAAAGAATTAACATCTTAAAAAAAAATTGCTCTTTACTGCTGTCTGCAAGACAGACGGTTTTTGGGCTTGAGAGTTCATGAATCTAAGAGCTGAGGAAAAGGTCAAACTAGGACCCATGTGTGCCCCTGTGGTTTACCTGTCTCTCTGACTGGCCAGTGGGGTCCTTCAGAACAGGACCTGGCGCATAGTAGGTGCTCACATAGTGCTTATTGGATCCATGAATAACGAGCAACAGTGACAGTCCCAGGGACCCCATGTGTGTTCAGCATGTAACATCCATCAAATCCCAGTTACCCATTGCTCCCCCAAACTGCAAATGAAGCCAGTGCCTAGGATATATATATATATATATATATATATATATATATATATATATATGTGTATATATATATATTTATGTTCCATTCCATACAAAATATACAACAAATTTATTAATTTCTGTCCCCTTCTGTCTAGCAGGCCCTTGGAGTAATTGTCCCTCAATAGAAATAACATTTCTGCTGGTTTGGCCAAGTGGTAGATCTGGGGAGGTTTTCAAGATAATTTCTAGTTAATTGGCTCTTGAGTAATCTGCAAGGATTCTTCTGGGTTTGCAAACTAGACTCCCCACTTCATTAAACAGGTTTTCAATTTGCAGTCCACTGACAGCTGTGAGCATGGGGCCCGCTTCTCACCTCCATCCAAAGCCCCTGCACCCCATGGTGTGGGAAGGGATAGGGATTTGTGGGGACAGGGGAAGGTCAGAGGCCACTTGTCTCTGTGAAAAGCATTGTCATTTCCCCCCAGTTTGAAAAGACTAATTGTCCTTTGGGCTCCACACTTTGGGTTCTATGAAATTCAAAATTAATGCAGCAAATTAATTCTGTGCTCCCCTTGCTCAGGCCGATTAGCACAAATTAAATTTCACACTAATTGGCTAAGGTAGAGAGAATACAGTCGTGCTGCTTGGAATTAATGCTAATTTCAAGGATGGTGGTTAGGGGTGTGACCAGGGCATTCCTGGATTGCCCTGCCATGTGTCGTGTGGCCAGTGCAAATCAGCGCTCTTGTGGCAAGAATGATTTTGCACAGTCTTAAGCAAATCTAACCCCTCCAAATCCAAGTGTGAGGCCAAAATTAGGAGGAGACCCTGGCAATTTCTATGGCAGTAATTCTTAAATTTTGTTGTACATAAAAATCACCCCGGAGCAGGTTGAAATGCAGATTCCTGAATTACGCTTTAGAGATCCTGGTTTGGGGATCTGACAGTCCTAGAATTTGCATTTTATTTTATTTTTTAAGAGACAGGGTCTCACTCTGTCACCCAGGCTGGTGTGATCATAGCTTACTGCAGCGTAGAACTCCTGGGATCAAGTGATTCTCCTGCCTCAGCTTCCAGAGTAGCTGGGACTATAGGTGCGCAGCATCTCGGCTGTCTGATTTTTAAAAACTTTTGTAGAGCCAGGGTCTTGCTATGTTGCCCAGGCTGGTCTTCAACTCCTGGCCTCAGGTGATTCTCCTATGTCAGCCTCCCAAAGCACTGGGATTACAAGCATGAGCCATCATGCTCTGGTCTAGAATTTGCATTTTAACAAGCATCCGAGGTCATTGCAAGGTACTTCCCCGGTGCCCAGTGTAAGGAACAAGAGAACGCTCCCTGCTGGGGACAACCAGGAGCATCCCTGAACAGCCCCTCATTCATTAACTGGTGGTCCTGACTTGGACTGGACAGGTGTGAGTTCAAATCTCAGTTCTGCCACTTACATGTGAGGTGGCTTTGCAATGCCTCTCCCAAGCCTTCTTTCTCCTCTGTGTCTATTGAAATGTGTATTTTGGTCTCAGCAGTCGGTGATGTGGTCAGTAGGGTGGGAAGCAGATGGGCTGGAGAAATGAAACAGATGGGGAGCATGGAATGCACAGAGCAGCCTCAGATTTTGTATTTTTTTTTCACTCTTTTTGAAAGATATTTTGTTTTGTTTTCTGGTTACAAAAGCAGTTAAAAAAATCAACAGTACAGAAACGCATCACAAGAAAATTGGAGTTCCCTGTGAACCCATCCTTCTAGGAAAAAAAAAAACAAAAACCCAATAAACGGTTTGGGAGTGCTTTGTTCTGTGCAAACAAAAATGGGATTACACCAAACATTCTATTCTGCAAATTTGCCTTTTTCCCCCCTTTGGCAATATATCTTGGGGATATATATATTCTTTAATGTCAGAGCATAGATCTCCCTCTTCCTTCTTCATGGGACAGCTGAATAAATTTTGACCCTGCCTGAGCTAACGGTACCAAGAGAGGATAGCTCAGAAGGGCAGCTATCTTGCTTATCATAAGAACCTTTTACCTTCTCAGTAAAAATAATGCACAGTCGCCCCTAAATATCAGTCACGACGCAGAAGGTCCAATGAAAGAGTGAGGCTTTCTAATATCTTCACGTGTAAAAGTTACAGAAAGAGAATATGTGACCACACCTAATTCAATGCATGTTACAGCTCAGGCAACTAAGGCTCCAGAGCAGAAGGGATTGTCCAAGGTGTTCGTTGTTGAGGCTGGACTCAAACCTTGTACCCTACCTCTTTATTTTTTTTTCAGTCCCTCTGCCTCCCTTAAGAGGTAGCCTCAGGGGTCGGGCAAAGTGGCTCATGCCTGTAATTCCAGCACTTTGGGAGGCTGAGGCAGGCAGATCACGAGGTCAGGAGATCGAGACCAACCTGGCTAACATGGTGAAAGCCCCGTCTCTACTAAAAATACAAAATATTAGCCAGGTGTGGTGCATGTGCCTACAGTCCTAGCTATTCGGGAGGCTGAGGCGGGAAAATCGCTTGAACCTGGGTGGCAGAGGTTGCAGTGAGCTGAGATTGCATACCATTGCACTCCTGCCTGGGCAACAGAGCGAGACTCATTCTCCCCTTATGTACTCTGCCGTATTCTCAAACCCTGGGGGCTTCATTTTGGAACAATAATACCACAGAAACCCGCTCACTTGGCATCGGTGGCTGGTCAGTTAACTAGAGAAAAAAAAAAAAGGCAATGTAGGTGGGAATTCATTTAAAAATTTCTATTTTAAAATTAATGACACATACTATAATTTAAATCCCTTCATTTCTGAGACAGGACCACATTCATTTTTCTTTCTTTCTTAAACCACACTCCTGATATACAACCACGTGATTTCCAATTTTGGCTTCTTTAACACAGAGCAAATGGCAAAGCAATTTGAATGCGGAAACCTAATTTTTTACTTCCAGTTTCTTTTTAGTTGTTGCAATGATGCCGGTTTGGCAGCATTTTAAGAAGCAGCTTACCTTTATTAATTCCTTCGAAGGCATTCCACCTAGTTTTCATGGAAACTGTCCAGCCACACTTTATAAGTTTATGTAGTGGCTAACTGAATAGATAGCTATGGTAAAAATGCAATAGGCAAAAACAGTCTGGGAGAACATGCACCGACACTGGATGTGCATGCCTGTCACCTGCTAGAGGCAGATGGACCATGGGGAATTGTAGAGAGCTGGTCTGACGGAGAGCATTCTGGTGCAGTGAGTATCCATCAGTGTGTCTTACTGAGGGACAGTGTTGGTACAACCCATGAGAGGATTTGCTAAAAGCTGGTTAGGAAGAGATTCCAGGCTGGAAAATGTGGCTCATGCCTGTAATCCCAGCACTTTGGGAGGCTGAGGTGGGTGGATCTGAGGTCAGGAGATCAAAATCATCCTGGCTAACTAGTGAAACCCCGTCTCTACTAAAAAATACAAAAAATTAGCCAGGTGTGGTGATGCGCGCTGGTAGTCCCAGCTATTCAGGAGGCTGAGGCAGGAGAATCGCTTGAACCCGGGAGGTGGAGGTTGCAGTGAGCTGAGATCATGCCACTGTATTCCGCCTGGGTGACAGAGCAAGACTTTGTCTCAAAAAAAAAAAAAAAAAGAGATTCCACAAAAATGGCCATTTTTAAAATTGAGCACTTACTGCATGCCAGGCACAGTGCTGAGCTTTCAATGGATTCTTTCCTTGAATCCTCAAAACAACGATGTATGTTGTTTTACCAGCTTTCAAGCTGGGAAAACTGAGAACCAGCAAGGCATCCTGCTTGTTGTAAAATCACACAGGTAGTGAGTGTTGGACCAAGAATTCTACCACATCATGACCAGTGAAACTAAAGTCCATGCTCTTAACCACTTGTTTATACTCAAGGGTTGCTTCCCCATGATAGCTAGTGATCAGTCCAAAGATGGTCCTGTGCATGGGGAGAAAAGGGCTGGCGGCTCCATTGAGTGACCCTTCCTTGGCTGCCTCATTCCCCATCCTAGATTGCTGACTTGACCACTGAGCTGGCCGATGAGCGCTTCAAAGGTGATGTGGCGTGCCAGGTGCTGGAGAGTGAGCGGGCAGAGCGGTTACAGGCCTTCCGGGAGGTCCAGGAGCTCAAGGTGAGTGGTCAGGGATGGCCAGGGCTGGCTGAACACCATGGCCATGAATGGTTGGGTCTGCCCCCTGACATTCTCATTGGGGATCAGTAAGCTTAAGCAAGATGCACAGGTTGACTGCTGGCCTCAAGGTCCTGGGGGACACTTAGGTCTCCTAAGGCTTGGCCTTAGAAGTGTCATGGGTGGATGGATAGTCCCTGGCTAGAGAGGCAAATAGGAGAGGATTGGCAGAAGGTGGACAGTCTTTGGGGTTGGAGGTGATTTGGGTGAGAAGTATGCAGAAGGTGCTATCCATGGTCCTGGAGTCTGCGTGGGTCAGGGCTGTGCAGAGCGTGGCCGATACGAACCTTGGAAGCACCATGGGTAAGACGACCAGTCCAGGTCTGTCCAGTGCTAGTTTGGACCTTGAGCCCTTTATTCTAGAGCAAATATGAACAAGTCCAGAAAAAACTGGGAGACGTGAATAAACAGCTGGAAGAAGCCCAGCAGAAAATTCAGTTGAATGACTTGGAAAGGAATCCCACTGGAGGAGGTAAGAAGCCTGGGACCCTTGGGGCTGGTTGCTGATAGACAAAGTTGTCTTTTCTGTGTCTTCAATCTGTCATAGATGGAGCACTTACTGGGTGCTAGATATTGCATGAGGGGCTGTGACTGTGGCAGAGCAAACAGGCACAGTGTTACCCTCTTGGAGCTTACAGTCTAATGGAATAAGCAGACATGAAACAGTCTATCCAGCAGTATCCTAGATAGCAAATTATCCATGTGATATGTGCTGTTTAGTTTTAATGCAAAGAGTGATTTTAAAATAGTGGATTTATGGGCAAGGTACTTTTATGTTTTGTTTTTCTGTTTTGAGAGGGAATCTCACTCCATCGTCAGGCTGGAGTGCAATGGCGCAATCTCATCTTACCACAACCTCCACCTCCTGGGGTTCAAGCAATTCTCCTGCCTCAGCCTCCTGAGTAGCTGGGACTATGCCTGGCTAATTTTTTGTATTTTTATTAGAGACAGGTTTCACTGTGCTAGCCAGGATGGTCTCAATCTCTTGACCTCATGATCTGCCCTCCTTGGCCTCCCAAGGTGCTGGGATTACAGGTGTGAGCCACGGCACCCATCCACTTTTATGTTTATTGAATATTTAAAAAATAAAATTTGAGAGGCCTGGCATGGTGGCTCACACCTGTGATCCTAGCACTTTGGGAAGCCGAAGTGGGAGGATCGCTTGAGCTCAGGAGTTCAAGACCAGCCTGGGCAACATAGTGAGATCCCATTTCTACAAAAAACTTAAAAATTAGCCAGGTGTAGTGGCATGTGCCTGTAGTCCCAGCTACTCAGGAGGCTGTGGCAGGAGGATCGAGTAAGCCTGGGAGGCCTAGCTGCATTTTAGCTTGGGCGACAGAGCAAGATTCTGTCTCAAAAAAGTAAAAATAAAAATAAAACATACATTTTGAGGAAGGCAGCCTACTGGTTAAAAGTTGGAACCTATGAAGTTGTATTTCTGGATTTGAATTTTGGGCCAAAGAAATTGCTGTACCTCAGTTTCTTCCTCTTTCAAATGGCGATTGTCTTGGATAATTGATAGAAAATGTTTAGCCACGTGTGTGGCATAGAGTGATGAATAGCTAATAGCTACTTTGCCATTATTATTACTAGGAATAATGAGATCACAGCCTTCCTTATAGCAACCTGTGGAACAGAAACGGCTGCCCTTCCCATTTCACAGAGAATAAAGCTGTGTCAGGCACTCAACAGTTACTGAATGGCAGGAAGGTGAGCCGGCTCTTGCTTTTAGCCAGGGGCACTGTACATGCGTTCAGTAGTGAGGAGTTTCTGGGGATGTCCTTCTTATACAGTTCCCTGGAGACTTTATGATCAGATAGCATGGTGACATCTTTGCCAGCTTCTCCCTGTGCATCTTACTCTCCCAGCCTAATGGAGTTGGGTGAGAAGGCTATCCAGTGGGACCGTTTCTATAAAATGTCAGCATTATTCCCTCCCTCCCTGTGTCCAGAGAATTTGTGCCCCTGAAGTGTCAGGGACACTCAGAGGAATGGAGGTCAGGGGTCTGTGGAGGAGAGACAATGTGTGTTTGTTTTCTGTTCCATTCTTGTTCTTCCATCCTGGCTCCCTTCATGGCAGGCATTTACCAAGGAGGTTAATACAGACTTTGAGGCTCTCTTATAAAGGAGACCCAACAAGGTAGGGTACCCGTAGGGAGAGGGGAACGTGTTGGTATAGAATCAGTAGTGTGGGACAGTCCTTGGCCTTGGAGGTTATTTATTTATTTATTTATTTATTTTTGAGACAGAGCCTTGCTCTGTCACTCAGGCTAGAGTGCAGTGGCCTGATCTCGGCTCACTGCAATCTCCGCCTCCCAGGTTCAAGCAATTCTCCTGTCTCAGCCTCCCGAGTAGCTGGGATTACAGACATGTGCCACCATGCCTGGCTCATTTTTGTATTTTTAGTAGAGACGGGGTTTACCTTGCTGATCAGGCTGGCCATGAGCTCCTGACTTCAGATGATCCACCCGCCTCAGCCTCCCAAAGTGCTGGGATTACAGGCATGAGCCATTGCGCCCAGCCTTGGAGGTGATTTCTATAAATCCCCAGAGGGGCGCCAGTGTCAGTTCCATCTGCATGAGATTCACATCTAAATAATGTTTCCCAGTTTGTTTTCCTTTGGTAAGATCGGGGTGTTAATGAGAGGAGGCCATGTGCTTAGCTTGTCAGCACATTAGTCACAATGCTATAGAGGCTCTCAGCTCTGGGTGCTCATTCCAAGAAGCCAGCCCACAAATATTTTGTTTTTCATTATGAAAGTAATACATACTCATTACAGAAAATTTCTAAGGTATTGGAAGTCTGAAAGAAGCAGTAAAACATTTCAATCATACCATCGCAGTGGTACCGCAACTACCGCATTGGTTCAAGATGAAGTATGAATTATTTCAAAAATATGTTTTTCCTTTATGCATGGCTAAATATTTAAAGAGAACCTTTTATGATATGCATTCAGCACTGAGCTGGACACTGTGGGAGTTACAGAGGATTTTTAATTGGATGCTCCTCTCAAGATAGTTGCAATATAAATGGGGAGATCAGGTAAACTCAGGAAAAAAAGATGATTGGATAGTGAACGGCTGAAATTATACACATTGATTAGGGGTGGCACCCGTGGGCAAGGAAGAGATGAGCCTTGAAGAACAGTTCCCCCTCTTGTTCATGTTGCCCACTCATGCCACTGGCTCTATGGCACATCGTAGCACAGGGCACATGGGCAGCTGCCCAAATGCTTTCTGTTGCTGCTTCTTACTTTTATAAGCCATGCTGCTTGTGATTGTGAGGCTTTTCCTTTTGGAGAGATAGTGTGCTTTTCCTATCGTGATATTTTCACCTTGGTGGAAACTTGAACAAGCTTTAACTCTTTATTATTATACTATCCTTTATTGGTTAATGATGTAGAAATCTCTATTGAGGTCACCTCTTTCCAGAACTGAATCCTATCATCCATCCATCCAACCATCCATCCATCCATCCATCCACCTACCCACCTACCCATCCATCCATTTATCCATCTATCTATCCATCCATCCATCCATCCATCCATCCATCATCCACCATTCATCCATTTATCCATCTGCCCTATCATTTATTTATCTATCAATCCATGCATTCATCCACCCATGCACCCACTTATCTGTCCACACTAATATCCATCCATCCATTATTTCACCTACCTAACCAAATATTTATCCATTAATCTTCCACCGTATCACCTATTCAAACATCCTAACCATTCAACTATCCACCTTTCCAGTGAAGGTTATCGAGCATTTTTTTTTTTTTTGAGACAGAGTCTTGCTCCAGGCTGGAGTGCAGTGGCGTGATCTTGGCTCAGGGCAATCTCAACCTCCTGGGTTCAAGCAATTCTCCTGCCTCAGCCTCCCGAGTAGCTGGGACTACAGGTGCGCGCCACCACGCCCAGCTAATTTTTGTAATTTTTAGTAGAGACAGGATTTCACCATGTTGGCCAGGATGGTCTCGATCTCTTGACCTCATGATCCGCCTGCCTCGGCCTCCCAAAGTGCTCAGATTATAGCCATGAGCCACCACACCCGGCCTCGAGTATTTACTATATGCTAGGCATTATAGTATATTCTGGGAATACAATGATGAACAAAACAAATTTGTTGTCTTATGAATTTGAGTTCTTTTCTGGATTTCTATAAGCCTCTTTATGAAAGCTGTGAGCATACTACTTTACTTTATGGGTTACTTTACAGTAAACTAGTATGAAAAAGAACTAGCATGAGAAAGAATCACCTCTGGGTGAATCATCTCTGGGTGAAAATTAAGTTTCAGCTTTTTTTTTTATTTGTCTCCCTTGCTAGATTATTCTGGAAGATGGGTGGATATGGCTTCTTATTCATTTCATTATCCCTTGCATCTTGTACAAAGTAATGTACTCAATGAGTGTGTGAATGGATGGATGGAAGGATGGATGGATGGATGGATGGATAGATGGATGATAAATGAATAAGTAGGTGTTCTCTACCTTCAGTCATCCGCTTGTGGAAAGTTTTCCACAGCTCCATTAACTTAATGGGCATTATTCTATTATTCAGATAGTCAAAAAATAAGACATCTTAGCCTAAAATAGTCAATTCTAATGAGTCAAACAGTTTTATTCAAACCAGGTAATATTTTTTTTGAGATGTTTACCACCTCAAGGGATTTGGTGTTCATCTTATCTTTAGAGACATCTTCTGACCAGTTTAGTAGAGTCTTGAATTATTGCTAATTTACTTATTTGTTAATTCAGCCAACAGCCAATGATTACATACTCTGTGCCACCCCATAACGTTGGCCAGTAGGATGACTCTTTTTACCTGATTATTGTATTAGGTTCATTAAGAAATTCATGAGCTTGTATCAACATGTATGAGAATCTACTTATAGGGAACTCTTCCAGAGGGTGTGAAGGACTCACAGAGACTGAAACAGCTCCCTTGCCTTTAAGGAGTATGAAATTTCCTTGGAAAAGGGAAGATATGAATACACTTGTAGAGACAGCTAAGCAGTATGAGGCAACCCATCTTAGAAGAGTGATTAGTCAAGAACTTTAGACAGTTAGGGTGGTCAGGACAGGCTTCCTGGGGGAAGCATTATTTAAAACTCAGACTTAAAGCATAGTTTCTTGGTCCAAGGTTGAAGTTCAGGGACTCCGTGAATATTGTGAAATTGCATGCAAAGAGCCAAGAAAGTGGAGGAGAGCCACTCTCACTCTTGGCTTACGCTCATTTGGCCTCTTATCCTGGTCTCCCTGCCTCTGTTAAACAGCAGATGAGTGGCAGATGCGCTTTGATTGTGCTCAGATGGAGAACGACTTCCTCAGAAAGCGTGTGCAGCAATGTGAGGAGAGGCTGGACTCAGAGCTAACAGCCAGGAAAGAGCTGGAGCAGAAGGTAAGATGTGGGGATAATCTTGGCCACCGAAGTGTCAGAGGGTGGGCAGGTTCTCACCTCCACTGTGGGTGGTCAAGGTGCCAGCTGACCCTGGGGAAGGAGGAAGAGGACACCAGCCACTTGAGGTTTTTCCATCTCTACTATTAATACAAATGCTGGTCACTGTGAGACATAAAAAATATTGCCTCTACATATGGGTCTTCTATCCAGAGACTGCTCTGTGGTATAAAGAACACGGACATTAACTCAGGATCTTTAAGTTCCAGTTCCATTTCTACATGAACCTTGTGGAAGTGACTTAACTCAGATTTCTTATCTATTACATAATTATCAGTGGTCTTAAAACCGCCACATTTTCCCATTGCCTCTGTTCTAATCTGCTACCTCCCAGCTCTCATCCAGACCAAAGCAACACCCTCCTAATTGTCCTCCTCACCTCTGGCCTCTCCTCTCAAGCAATTGCCACACGGCAGCCAAGGAACTTTTCAGAGTCTCTCTTAGCTTGTTCTCAGATCACAAAGTGTGCTGACTCTCACGGTGGATTTTTTTCCTTGTGTGTTTTGTAAATTTTGTTTTTGAGCTCATCTTTAACAGGCTTCTCTGCTCCTCCCCCAGTAGTCCCAGGTGTTCTGCCTTGTGGCATGTTTTTTTCTTCTCTCCCAGTGAGTTTTTGTGTGCCTTTTTAGCTGTTTTTTTTTTTTTTTCATTGTGAGTTAATCTTCAGCAGGAGATTTAACTTTTTAAAACATTCAGTTGATGTTGATGGGAGCCCTTTGATAACAGGGTCGTGAGTGTGTTCCGCTAGAAGAAGCCCTTTTCACTTTCTCTGGCAGCAGTCCCTGAGATAATGCTAAATTCCTGGTCTCAGATTTTTGCAGCATGTAAAAATTGTCAGTCTCTAAACCCATGTGAAGCTTAGACCTGGGGTTTAAAATTCTTATGAGAGTACTTTCCCCCCACCTAGATCCAGGGTGAAAGCAAGCTTTCTTACCATCTTCCAGGCCACGAGGTGGAGCTTTTATTTTCTCTTCTCACTGAGGTGTATGCAGCTCTTTGAGGGGCTTGTCAACGCAAGGGTCTTCATTGCAACTTTTCACCTTCCATGAGTCCAGAGCCTTGCCTCCTATCTCTGTCTGGGCATTCAAACACAAACCTCTATCCTAAAGGACATTTCTGGATCTATCAATTGCTCTTCTCCCTCATCCTGGCCGCCACAATATTAGTATGCACCATTATTGTTAAGGCTTTGTGTCCTCTGCATTTCTGATATCCTGAAATTTCCTTCTTTCAAATCTAATGCAATCTTATCTATATATAATATAAGTTTATCCAACCTTTCTAGATGAATGTACAAATAGTTCGGTCTCTTTGCTTGTCTTCTGTGGCCTCCAGTGATCCCTCACCTACATTCTAACCAGTTCACACTCTAACAAATGGTGTGCTAGTAAATAGCTCTCTGGAAAAAAGAAAAAGCCCTGATTTGTAGCACTAGCCAATTTCCCTGGTGTAAATACTCCCACTTTGCCAATTTCAAACTACCATTGTGATGACACTAACATGGAATTTGAAAGAGATGCACAGAATTAGCTCTGTACATCTCTTTCAAGTTGGTACCAGTCGACTCCAGAACACCACTGATTCCAGCCACACAGTTTTTTTTTTTTCTCCTTCCAAAAATGCCTGATTCTTTCTCACCTCTGGGACTTTGCATATGCTATTTCTTCTTCCCTGAGCAATCTTTCTTTTTCTCCCCTGCCTAGATATCTCCAACTATTCTTAAGATCTTAGCTTAAATGTCACTCTCTCCAGAAAGTCTTTGCTGACGCAGATCGGGTTGGGAGTCCCTGAGTTGTCTCCCGAAACATAGGCCTCATCATGCTGTATTGTAATTACCTACTTGCTTCGTAGTCTCTCCCATTCGATGTAAGAGCCCTAGGGTGGAGGTTGTATTTGTGTATCTATTCTATTCTCAATGTGAGGAAAAAGTATCAAGTGATTGCCTTGCAGAGGAGGGTCAGGGTGAGATCACATGGGATTTTATAAACTATGGAAATGACTCTCGATATCCTCCATGCTGGTGGTGATGGTTTTAGTGGTCACTTTCAAGATGAACATTACATTGTGGTCCTCAAGAGACATCTTGAACCACAGATAAACACAGATGGACACCTGCAAAAAAGCAGCCCAGTTCCTTCATAACAAATTATAAAGTTGAGTCAGTTTCCCTAAGGAAGGGGGATATTTATGCTACATTAAAAAGTAATAAAACTGCAACCTTTTCTGAGCAGCAGAATATAAGAAAACATCCCATTTGCCTTCCAATGCTGAATTTAGAATTACAGGCTTCATTAACTCAGAGTTTTGCTTATTTAAAGCAATTCTTTAATGAGGCCATTTCTTCAAAGCCAGTGTGCTGAGTTGCATGCTCTTCCCCAGAACTAAAGTAGGACATTTGGGACAGTGTTTCCTGGAAGAAGATGTGGGAGTCTTCGGTTTTGTTGGTTGAAGGCCGTGTGCACCCCTGTATTGATCCAGTCTATGCAAAATCCCATCTGCTGCTTTAACCTTTAAGGCTTGCCACTTGGGATCCAGGTCAGAATCTCTAGGTGTGCCATTTTGGGGGCTCTGTGGCTAATCCTCACCTATCTCTTCTGATCATGTTGGCTGATGGGGATATGAGTTATATCTGGTGGTTCAGGGGGCCATCAAGTTGAGGCAGGGTAGGTAAAGTCTGTGGGCGCATTGGCTGGAGGTTTATTGAGCAAAAGTGAAACTAACCTTAAGAGAGTGAGGAGGTTATCCCCACTTTACCTCTGAGAAAACTGAGGCTCAGAAAAGTGGCTTCCAGGAGGAAGGTAGTCAAGACAAGGTCTCCCTGTTCCAGCATCTACTATTTTCTCATTACACACCTTGGAAACAGCAACTCCTTGAAATGCAAAGTAAAAAGCCCATTCTGTGCCCATAGAACTAGGTAATTCATTCTATTACCCTTACAGCTTGGGGAGCTGCAAAGCGCTTATGAGGGGGCCAAGAAGATGGCTCACCAACTGAAGAGGAAGTGCCACCATCTTACCTGTGACCTGGAGGACACCCGTGTCCTGCTAGAGAACCAACAGAGTCGAAACCATGAGCTGGAGAAGAAGCAGAAGAAGTGAGTGACATCCCCCAGCATTGCCTGGGAGGCCAGGGTGGGCTATATTGGAGCTGGGGTTTTCTGGGTGTCCAGGTTCTCCTTCTAACCCCCTCACTTCTGCCAGGTCCACTAGACTTTACCCCCTTGTTCTGCTCCAATCTTCCTCCCTGTCCCCTCACAGCTGACTCCTCTATGGCTCTCCCAAGAATCCAGCAAGAAATGATTCTTTTCTCTTAGCCAGCCTCAGCTACGTTGACCATGGGCCGTGTGACCTTGGGGAACTTTCTTTGCCTTTCGGGTCTTATCCCCATTTGTTGAGTGAAGGGTTTGTTGCAGAGAGTCAAGACAGAATGGTGATTAGGAGCCCAGGCACTGATACTAAAGTCATCTCATTCAAGTCCTGAAGGTGCCTCTTTCTAGATGTGTGACTTTGAGCAGGTCATTAAGCCCTTCCCAGTTGGATTCCTTATCCATCATTTGGTGATAATATTGCCCCCTTGTGATAAGGGGTAAATGATGCAGTCAGTACATCCAAGTGGACTGATCCTGGTTCCTATTCCCATTGGTGAAAATTGGGCTAGAGAATAAGGAGGAGGCCAAAATATGGCCTTGTTATTTAGGACTTGGACTCTCAGATCATGTGAGCCATTCTGGCAGAGATTGGGCCTCATGCACCAGCAAGATGCTAATCTTGAATCTGCACAGCGTGGTTCCCATGCTTGTGTTCCCTTTAGGTTGCTGTCACAGCGAGGTGACGGTAGAGCCTGGATTTGTACTCGTTCGCACACTCATAGGGTTCTTCATGCAAAACTTCAGACCCTGTGATGCTTGGACACCTTGGTTGAGTTCTCCAGCTCACTTGGTGAGGGTAAAGGTATATAGGGGTCCTGTTTTGAGCCAGCCAAGTCCTAATGGAGATGTCATAGAAAGAAAATAGGTGGGAAGCAGCCTCTTTTAGAAGGCCCATGGTAAAATACAGAAAAATGTTCCTGCATGAGCCAAGATGTGATTTTGTGGGAGCTGCCTCCTTCCCAAGAAGTAGCAAGCTGAATTCTATTTCCTTGGAGGTGGCATAGATTTTGAAGTTGATCTGCATTAAATATTATTTCCCTTATTTATCCTTCAGTTTCCCTGAGCTGTCTTCTTCACCTGAAAAAGGTCTTTTGGGGGATTGTTAGCATGCTGTCCATCCCCAAAATAAGAGAGGCTTATTTTTTGTTTATGGATATGTCACTCTGTTCCCTTTTCCACCTCCCTATGGGTGCTATGGCTGAACCTTACCCTTGCAGTGGGGAAAATGGCTTGGCTCCATCTTGGCCACCTGCTGTGTGACCTTGGAAAAAAACACCACCTCTCTGGACCAGAGCATGACTGATGTTTCAGATGAGTCCTTGGACTTAAGAGGTCATCTGATCTTGAAGAATGGGTCTGGCATATACCCCTGTCTGTGAAATAAGAGGTTTGGACTCAGTCATTCCCCAGGTTTCTCCCAGCTATGACCCTCTTGGCCTCCAACTTTTCTGAGAGGCCTAACAGGGTTTCAACTCTCTGATGAGTAAGGGGGAAGCCTATGGAATTTGCACAGCCAGAAAATTCTGTCTTTGCCAGGTGTAGTGGCTCATGCCTGTAATCCCAGCATTTTGGGAGGCCAAGGCGGGCAGATCACATGAGGTCGGGAGTTTGAGACCAGCCGGACCAACATGGAGAATCCCCATCTCTACCCAAAAATACAAAATTAGTTGGCTATGGTGGCGCATGCCTGTAATCCAAGCTACTTGGGAGGCTGAGGCAGGAGAAGTGCTTGAACCCGGGAGGCTGAGGTTGTGGTGAGCCATGATCGTGCCATTGTACTGCAGCCTGGGCAACAAGAGTGAAACTCCTTCTAAAAAAAAAAAAAAAGAAAGAAAGAAAGAAAGAAAGAAAAGAAAGAAAATACCATCTCTCTGGCATTTCCTTTTCCCTTTGGACGGAATCCCTCATTCCAGGGACTTATGAATCTCCCCATGATACCCCCCAAGGAAAGTTCCTATTTCTTCATATTTGCATGTCCTCCTCTCAAAACTTAGCTGTCTTGTGATGCCCTCTGCTCTGTTACCATCTCTTGGCAGAAGCTAAGTTATGTTTTGATGCCAGTTGCAGATAGTAGGCATTACCTTTCCAGGTGGGTTAGCATTTTATTAGAGATGCTATGGGGGCAGCAGAAGTCTCAGTCTAACTGTGGAAGTTCAGGCAGAATGACTATGGTGAAGGAAAGATCTAGAAGTCAGTAACACTTCCTTGCATCTCCCAGTGCTTAATCAAAATGTAGATGCAGCTGCCTCCTGAGTTTGCTGGGCCCAGGACAGAGTGATGTCTCCACATTGACAGAGTTCCCTGTTTTCCACCTTGGCTTCTAAGTTCAGAGTGGCCTGGAATGGTTTCATTTTGGTTGGATTTTTGTTGGCATGATTACCCTATGGGTCATAAAGCTGGGTTCTGAGGGCTGATGGAACTCGGAGTAAGCCCAGTGCTAGACTCACTGACTCCCACACTCAAGGGAGGCTGGACCCAAGGCCCTTTCTTAGCAGGGTGAAGGTTGTGTGCAAACCTATCTGGCCTCAGGCAATTGGCTGGTCAGTGTGTACTGTTTGCTAGGAGTTGGGGTCTGTAGTAGCCGCTCATTTTTTTTTTTTTTTTTTTTTTTCCCATTTATTTATTTTATTGCATTTTAGGTTTTGGGGTACATGTGAAGATCATGCAAAATTTTTTGAGACGAAGTCATGCTCTGTCTCCTAGGCTGGAGAGCAATGGCTCAATCTCGGCTCACTGCAACCTCCTCCTCCCGGGTTCAAGCGATTCTCCTGCCTCAGCTTCCCAAGTAGCTGGGACTACAGGCACATGCCACCATGTCTAGCAGCTAAGTTTTGTATTTTTAGTAGAGACAGGGTTTCACCATGTTGGCCAGGATGGTGTTGATCTCTTGACCTGGTGATCCACCCAGCTCGGCCTCCCAAAGTGTTGGGATTACAGGGGTGAGCCGCTGCGCCTGGCCTGTAGTAGCTATTCTTTAGCATCAAGTGGCCTGTTAAGTCAAGGACTCTTCTGCAACACTGGTTACTGTCTGGCCCCTACTGTCTTACCTCACCTGTCCCAGGAATGGACAGGTAGATGGGGGACTAGCTAAGACACCAGGGTAGGTGAGCCCAAGTCCACTTCCACCACTTTGGAATTTGGAGCTGACTCACTCCTCTCTGAACTTCAGTTTCCTCCTCGGTGAATGGATCGAATAACATGTTTCTTGCTGAACTGTTGTAAGGGCGACATGGATCCCAGCCCAGGACCTGGCACATTGGGACTGTCGGATCATCACTCTCATCACAATGCTTCCATTCAGAGGCAGCAGATAGTGCCCCTTGAATGATGTCACCAACAGCCAATCAGAAAGCTCCTGAGCTGTTCCTACAGGAGGGCTCCCTTATTTGACCCATGATTGGGCCTCTCAGGGGTCTGAGACTTTGAATAATAGTCTAGTATTAAGGAACATTGGATAATCTTGTTGACAAGGGAGACTTTCTTGTCACCAAAGCCCAAACCCCATGCCCACTTCTGCCATATCAAGATCTCTGGAGCAATGGGACTTCCTGTTTGGGCCAAGGGCAAGTGACTCAAAGTCACACCTTACTGAGGCTTGGCAAAGGCTTTCGTGTTGGTTTCCTCATCTGTGATACATCCAGGATGCCGAGACAACTGAAGAGAGTGACATCACATCCAGGAAGTGCTTCTCACCCAGTGGTCATCACAGAAGGGCAGGAGGGCCCCTAACAAGGAAGGCATTGATTCCCTGGATGACTTTGAGTAGGACTATCTAGTTTTTGTGTTTTCTCCTCGAAAAACAAATGAGGACAAGAATGTATAAATGTCCATCATTTTATCAATAATCAGCATGCTTTAATATGGCATATTAGAGTATAAACCAGACAATATGTTAAAATATGAAATGTAGTCTGGACGTGGTGGCTCACACCTGTAATCCCAGCACTTTGGGAGGCCAAGGCGGGCAGATAACAAGGTCAGGAGATGGAGATCATCCTGGCCAACATGGTGAAACCCCATCTCTACTGAAAATATAAAAACTTACCTGGGCGTGGTGGTGAATGTCTGTAGTCCCCGCTACTGGGGAGGCTGAGGCAGGAGAATTGCTAGAACCCAGGAGCCGGAGGTTGCAGTGAAGCTGAGATGGTGCCACTGCACTCCAGCCTGGGCGACAGAGCAAGACTCCATCTCCATCTCAAAAAAACAAACAAACAAACAAAACAAATATATATATATGAAATGTAGAATGTCCTCTTTCTACATACATGCACTGGTTTGTTCATTGGTCAGCAAATATTGGAAATCAAATGGGGCCTGGTAGATTTAAGG